AAAGAGGTGGATTAGCAGCAAATTACCTTAACTTTCACATTCTGTTGAATACAGGAATAATTCTCACTTGGAGGGGATATCAGGGAGTCACTGTATATGTGGGTCTCCACAACACAGAGATCTGATTCAGTCTGTATTTCAGGCACCACCAATAAAAAAAGGTAATAGATTTTAATGCATTGAAGGCAAGTCTTTCTTAAGCTATAACTTAGACACACAGATGTTCAGCTAAATTCACTAAAGCAAGTAGTATAGCCCACAGCCCCTGAAGTCACAGGAAAGGGGTGATTGTTGGTGGGGTTACCATGTCAGGTCATTGTATGTTGTTGTATGACTACATGCCTGAGGATTGCTTCCACAGTTTCTAACTGTCTCTGGATATGTGACTTCTGTATCCATCTCTGAAATTCAATCTGTACCACAGTAATGCAATTTAGGTAAAATCTTCAAACTATCTTGCATATATTTAACTTCATATGTACATTTATATGCATGGTTTATTTTTAATGCAGTTCTATGGAATTCTCCAGATCTGTATTTATCTAGTCAGCTGATGATTCTTGATTGATTTCTTCAGTATATTTTAATAGATAAAATATGAAGCACTTCCTAGTGCAATTTTTCTTCACAGAGATACTACCAGAGTATCATTGAGAGGATGCTGGGGTGTAGAAACTTGTATTAGTAGCTGATACAAATCTAGTGTGTTTTCTGAAACCTTACAATAAAAGAGAATTTCTGGGAAAAGTATCCCAAAATACCCAGGGGTAGGTGTGCCATACACAAATAGTATAATCACTCTTGTTAATCTCATGAAACAGCAGAACTGAGTTTTCATTCAGCTGGGAATTGACTTGGCCTCACAGAAAACAAAGTCTCATCATTGACTTCATGAAGAACAAGACCAGACCCTAAATGCATAAAACATAGGCCTGCGTTCTCATCATATGTTCCAGTTTTTTAATTCCCATTTCTATGTTTGCACACCAAACACAATCCTCTAACCTGTTTTGCTGAAGGAGTAAGGTGGAACATTTATATTCAAGCAAAATAAAGCCAGAAGGATGCAGGGACAATATTCTACCGGTACATCCTCTTGCCCTGAAACAAGAGCATTCTTCTACACGGGGATGAAAAGAATTTTTCCTCACATTTAAGTTCAACATTTTATGTATGTCTTTTCCTATGGTTCTACTTAGCAGCAGCTATGTCCTACCCTATTAGGTATAATGCAGGACAAACACTGCACTCACTTGGGAGATTCTGAGTATTTCTGACCTCTATTGTAAAACAAATAAAAATTCATCCCACCACTTCTGTGTTTCATTCATCTCAGTTGATCTCTTTGTTTTTACACTTTTTCCTTAAGAAAGATGAAAACCTTTACATTTCTTCAAAGTAAGTCACACAGAATGACACAGAATCATTAAGGTTAGAAAAGACTGCTGAGATCAAGTACAACGTATGACCTTACATCACCATGCCAACTAGACCACAGCAATGAGTGCCACATCCAGTTTTTCCTTAGACAAATCAAAGGTCTCTAAAACTAAACTCTTGATGGGAACAGTCAATTCAGCTTCACCATGTAAAAATGTAGCTAGCTTTCATTATTTAAAAAGAAATTAAATCCTATTTTTTAAAAATCTCTTTACAGAATCTCATTGCTTCTTATACATATCTAGTGAAATGGTTCAAAACCCCCATGTAAATAGTTTTTTTAATTTACATAGGTGCATGAAGCACAAGGAAAAGCCTATGTAAAAATGAAATATCACTATTTTATGTAAATTTTAAAATTCCATTAAACCAATAGTGTACTAGATTCTATTGCAGTTTTCCATAACAGCTTAGTGAGCATAACTTTTATGTTTGCATGTATGATGACATACAATATTGTGCACCAGTACAAAACAATGTATATAATGAACAAAAGAAGTATGAACTCAAATTTCACATTTAATGCCTGATTCTTCCATAGATGTCAATGACAAAACTAATTTATTTCACTGAGGCAGGAGCAAGACCTAAGTGGCCAGCAATGTGCCCTTCAGCTTCATGTTCATTCAGTTCTGTTCAGTTAACACACTTTTCCATTGCTGTGGCAATTTTAAAGCATTTATTCTATAAATGAATAGTCAGCTTTCATGCAAACAGTCCATTAGCATTAATCATATGACTTTCACATACATAGATAAAAAAAGTGTTTGCAATATTTTTCTTGTCCATGACAAATAAGAAGTTGGCAAGAAATGAAAAATAACAATTTAAAAGGAAGATTAGAACAACTGATATCTTGACACCATTTCATTTCTCATCTGAAATATGAAAAGCCATATTCCATTTAGTGCAAATATGGAAGATGACATTTTTGTTGATCAAAATCTGAGTCTTTGCCTACTTTGTCACTGATCCTGTTGCATAAATTAGCATTTACATTTCCCGACATATTTATCTTTGGACAATTCTGAAGAATCCCAACTTAGTGGAATACAAATCTGCAACTACATTAAAATAATTAAATTGAGTAATTTGCATTGACTATGTTAAACCGATACTTTCTAGATCATTACCTAAAGAATTTTAAGGTATTAAAATCTTACAGCTTTAAAGATGAGCACCTTCACGAAAGTTCAACTGAACACTGCTATGCAGCCACTGGAAATAACTTGCATTAGGGCTTCTGCCTAACAGGAAATTATGCTGAACCTGAACCAAAGCCTAGTGAATTCAGTACGAGTTTTGTTCCTTCAACTTTAATTGGCACTGGATCAAGCCCTTCGCTTTGACATTAAAGCAATGGTTATGACTGTCAAACAATATTTTCCCTTTCAGTATCTGTTCAAAAGGAGATTTTGATAAACATCCTAGGACTCTACAAAATGAAAATCAGACTTGGATTTGTGTGTCAAATAATAATCTTCAGAAGCTTGTTATTTTGCAGATGGAGATTTTAGCTGCCATGTTGTCCTTCTAAAAATAACATGCAGTTTTCCAGTGAGCATGCAGACAACTAACAATATCAGTGTGCATTTTTATCACAAAGAATCACTTGATAAATCCATCTTCATAGGTTTCTATAATCAAATTGGGAAAACTCTAATTTTATCCAAAAGGAAAAATATTTTTTAAATATTTAAAAACATGACACATCTCAAAGTGTTTCACAGAGGAAGGAAAAATGACCACAGATGAATGTGATAATGGATAGACTATCAAAGAATTAATCAACATTTTGTAAAGTGACAATGCTGGCAAACCACAAGAATGGAATGTTAAGGTATTTATTGTAAGCCAAAAGTAAAAGACTTATATGCATTATCTCCAAGCCAATATACAATAAAATCCATTTTCAGGCTTGAAACAAATACAATCAAAAGGCTGTTTGTGACTCTGAGCCCATGTCTTCTTCTTATATTATAAAGTACCTCAAAATTTTCCAGCACCATTTTGGCCCTTTTCTTTAAAGGGCATATACTATTTAGAAAGAAATGCACTTGTATGTTTTTTTTAGTCCTGATCCAACTCCTACTGTTGCCAGAGGAACATTTTCTGTTGAATTCAGTGGGAATAAAAGAAAAAAAAAAATCATTAATTAAAACTTAGTATCCTGTATTAAAATAGTTGCTGTTAACAGAGATTCATTTATGACTGCCCCAGTGGCTTACCAGTAAGTTGATGGGACATGAACAGTGTATTTCTTAAAACAGCTGTAAGGCAGAAAATCTGAGGTTACTGTTTGGATTCCCTGATGAAAAGCTGCAATTGTTTCATTTATAGGTAAATGCATTCTGGCTATTCCTAGAGTGACCTTGGCAGCCAACTGTGTTGCCCTTCGTGTCAGCAAGAAGAAGGCTGTTGGTGTCAGTGGGCTTTGGATCAGGCTTTAAAGACAGAGGAAGCTTGCTTAAGGAGGAAAACAGACATAACAAATAGTCCTGATTTCCCAGGTTTTGTCACTTAGAGTTTAGAATACCAACAAGACATTTTAAACCCTGAAGAATAATTGCTTTAAGTCAATTATTTTGACCCCATACGTTTTTACAATTGTATACAAGAATAAAGAAGAACAAATCTCTCTGGCTTACAAAAAAAAAAAAAAAAAAAAAAAAAGGCAAGTACTTTATTTAGCAATAGATATTTTAGCTGCTTTTTACACCATTGCAATGACTGAACAAGTAGCATAAAATAAACAGAGGAGAGTATAAAATCATTTTATTCCAGCTGGTATCCCAGGACAACCTTTTGATTAAGTACAGAGTTAGATGTTTCAAGTATGGCACTTATATAAATAAGAGCTAAGAGAAGGTGATATATTCACAGTTAAATGCAATGAACTCTCTTCCTTTGGTATGTGTGTCATCATAGGTGGTTGTAGGTAAATACATAACTTGGCTGGCATGAACCAACTCCATCTTATTCATGCACATATTATGGAATGAATCAAAATGTACTGATATATTTTGCAGATCACAACTGATGTAAGATGATTAAGGTCTCTGGTGTGCGTGTGTGTGGACAGGCAAACAAAAAAATTGCAAAATTATATTCAGCATTTATTGTTTAGCATAACTAATTGATGCACAAACCATGATAGAAAATAGCTAGTAATACACACCAGGAATAAAGCCTGTGATTTAGACAAACAAAATTATAAGACATCTGTGAGATACGTGAACGCAGATATCCTGATTGAGCTGTGGTTAGGTTCCTTACAGTGCGATTACTCTCCTTTTAAAACATGCTTAAGTCTGCACATTGCAAGTTTCCCCCACCCCATCCCACCCCATATAGAGTATCCTTGCAGAGTTTTGATATGAACATTCTACATGTTTACAACAACTAGTCAGACAGTTCAAACTGTAAACATCCTAATGACGACCAAAAAGCTGCTCCACTGACAGATAACACCCAATCATTAGAAAGAAAAGTAGGAATAATAGTAGCTGTGCTGTAAGGCTAGATCAAGCATGGTTTTATAGCTGTTTTTTTCAGTCTTTTACATAGTGCTGCATTTTGCAGCTAGTTCAGTAAGTGCAGATCCAATACCTTAATGGCTTTCTTGGTGGTTTGATAAAATGCTTGCCTAAGCAATGTACCTTTCTCTAATGGTATCTGGGTCTGTTCCACCTGGCACAGTGTTTCAGTTCTGACACAGCCTCACACATAAGCTGAGTCACTTGACTGAGTCCTGCCAAAGTTAGGCATGCTCATTCTTGGCAGGTCCTTATTTCTGATTTCGTATATGGATTTCCTTTTTGCCTGTACTCCTCTCACTGCCATTTTGATCTTTCTCCAGCCCAAGTGGTTCAGTTCTGCCAAATTGAGCACCACACAAATCCCACTGACAGCAAACATGAATACCAAGAATACAGTCTTCTCAGTGGGTCTAGAGACATAGCACTCTACTTCTTTAATGCAAGGGTATCTGTCACATTCGTACATGGAAGGGACATTGAATCCGTACAGAAAATACTGTCCCACTAAGAATCCGATCTCTAGGGCATTTCGAAAGACCACTTGGATGATATAAAATCGAGAAATGCCTTCTTGCCTCCTCATCTTTGACTTTGTAGTTCTGATAGCAGGGTTGGGGATTTCCTTCACTTCTAAGCAGTCTGGTTCTGCCTCTTTGGTGGAGTTCTCAGTGTTCTGCAGCACCCCATTGACAATCGTGTTCTTTATTTTCTTACTGTCCTCACGCTTCATTGAATCCTGGTCCCTTTCCAAGGTGAGGAAGACAGTGGAGTACCTCCGTTCCCTCTGTTTAGCAGACTGGTGAACGGAGTACGTTATGAAGCACAGGCTGGGAGTGCACACCATGATGATCTGGAACACCCAGTACCTTATGTGAGAAATGGGGAAAGCCTGGTCGTAACAAGCCTGGTTGCAGCCTGGCTGCAGCGTGTTACAGACAAACATCGTTTGCTCGTCATCGTATACCGTCTCCCCTACAATGGCCACAATGAGAATTCTGAAGATCACCACCACGGTCAGCAGGATCCTGC